CAGCAAAGCATTTGTGAAGCCACAACACGCACAACCTTGAGGCGGATGGGCTACAACAGCAGAAGACCCCACCGGGTACCACTCATCTCCACTACAAATAGGAAAAAGAGGCTACAGTTTGCAAGAGCTCACCAAAATTGGACAGTTGAAGATGAAAAATGTTGCCTGGTCTGATGAGTCTCGATTTCTGTTGAGACATTCAGATGGTAGAGTCAGAATTTGGCGTAAACAGAATGAGAACATGGATCCATCATGCCTTGTTACCACTGTGCAGGCTGGTGGTGGTGGTGTAATGGTGTGGGGGATGTTTTCTTGGCACACTTTAGGCCCCTTAGTGCCAATTGGGCATGGTTTAAATGCCACGGCCTACCTGAGCATTGTTTCTGACCATGTCCATCCCTTTATGGCCACCATGTACCCATCCTCTGATGGCTACTTCCAGCAGGATAATGCACCATGTCACAAAGCTCCAATCATTTCAAATTGGTTTCTTGAACGTGACAATGAGTTCACTGTACTAAAATGGCCCCCACAGTCACCAGATCTCAACCCAATAGAGCATCTTTGAGATGTGGTGGAACGGGAGCTTCGTGCCCTGGATGTGCATCCCACAAATCTCCATCAACTGCAAGATGCTATCCATCAATATGGGCCAACATTTCTAAAGAATGCTTTCAGCACCTTGTTGAATTAAGGCAGTTCTGAAGGCGAAAGGGGGTCAAACACAGTATTAGTATGGTGTTCCTAATAATCCTTTAGGTGAGTGTATGTCAGTCCAGTGACTGTTACCTGACAACCGACTTGCCTCTCATTCCCCGGTGCAGGCAGTAAGTCAGCCTGCCGAGTGAAGACAGACTCTGAGGACCCATTTGAGCGCTGAATGATTAGTTCATTCCTGCTCCACAGTAGCCAAGATGTTATGTGAAAAATGAATGACTCAAACCCAGAGACCCACAGTTATGAGTCCTGAACTAATCAGTTCTGTTTCCTGTGCTGCCTTACAACAGCCTGTAGCCAGCTGTCACGTGACAAATGAACGACTCAAACCCAGAGACCCTCAGTTGAGAGTCGTGAACTAATCAATTCTGTTTCCTGTGTTGACGGAGCCCATGCAGCTGCCATGTAAAGAGTGAACGTAAGAGTCCAGACTATTCACGCATGCGTTAAAATGAACAAATTATTCACTGAGACAATACAACAATAGGTCAAATGAACGACACAACACTAATTGTCTACCGTGATTTAAATAACATCACCATTAAGAACAAGTAACCACTACCTCTCATTAATTCTGCCTTTGTCCCCCTTCATGGCGCCACTGTTTTTTCCAAGCTGACCTACATAACGCCTACCATCTGGTCAGAATCCAGGAGTGGGATGAGTAGAAAATGGCTTTCAATACTCCATTGGGGCATTTTGAGTATCTAGAGATTTTTGGTCTGATCTACACTCCTGCTGTTTTCCTTTAGTAAATAACATGCTCAGGGTCTTCATCAATCAGTTTGTATTTGTTTATATTGATGACATTCTGATTTTTTCTAAGAACATGTCTGATCACATAATCTATGTCCGCCAGGTTCTCCAAAGGCTGCTGGAGAACAGGCTTTACGAGAAGGCAGAAAAGTTTCACGTCAACTCGGTCAGCTTTCTGGAATACGTCATCGAAATTACAGTAGAGTTGCCTTGCCCCTAAGCAGTCTTAATTCCTCCTCCATCTCCTTTGAGTGGAACCCGGAGGCGGAGCAAGCCTTCAATTCATGGTTAGGGTTGACGCATCAGACACCGGGGTGGGAGCTGTGCCTTCTCAGAGGTCATGGAGAGCTCAGAAGCTTCATCTCTGCGCCTTTTTCTCCCGTCGACTCTCCCAGTCTGAACATAATTATGATGTGGGCAACAGGGAGCTCTTAGCAGTTAAGCTAGCTTTGGAGGAGTGGAGATACTGGCTTGAGGGAGCTGCGCAGCCATTCTTAGTCTGGACCGATCATAACAACTTGGCTTATATACTAACCGCTAGGAGGCTCAACTAACTCCTAGCAATTTTTTGGCAATTTTTTGGCTGCTTTCAGATGACACTTACCTTACTGCCCGGGGTCAAGGAATACTAATGATGCTCTCTCCCGACAGTTTGGGGCCATGGAGGCTCCCTCCGATCTGGACACTATTCTCCAATCCTCCTGCGTGGTGGCCTCACCCTGGTGGCCACTCTGCCCAGCTCCTATGCTTTCCTGCCTAAGCCACCTTCTGTTGCACGCTCTAATAAACTGAAATTGTGAATGCATTGGCTTAAAAGAGCTCCGAGGTACACAGAGAAATGTCAAAAATGTTAGCACCATCCCTGGTCTCCCCAACATTAATGGAGCCTCAGTTCCATCGATTGTATTCCCTGAGTAATCTGTGCCCAGTGATCACGTTGCACAATGTTAGGACCCTGGAATTAGTTCACCTAAATAGAAGCAGGAGTATGAAAAACTACTAGTTGGATTTATACCCTTTAACTTGGTAGAAGAGTCTAGCATGGGCCAAGGAAGAACCTATTCAATTTTGGATGGGATCCGAATCATTGGGCACATCCATCATCAACCGCTTATCCTGTGTACAGCCCCGAACTTGGCGAACTCAGTATTGAGAAACAGTTACAGTCTTTGCCATCACCTGGGGGCTGACACATAGTAGCTACACAGATACGCTGGATGTCAAATTGAAGGTCTTAATGAGACGAATCACACATCACTGAGGGAGCTTCTGTTCTCAGGCCTGTAAAGCATGGAGTTCTTTGTTATTCATAGGAATATTGATTCAAATCCATTGTATTTATTAATATATTTATTATGCTATTTGTAAGACTTGGGTTTATGGAGAAACTACCAGCAAAAGGTAACAGTAAATATGGCCAAAACATGGATAGTTTCTTTTCTTCACGTTTGCAGTTACAGTTGTAGTCAAGAAGAAGATATTCAGCTGTATTATAATCTGTAGGATCATGGTTATTATTATTATATTATTATGGTGTATAGTGTGATTTTATACTAGGCGAGTATGAAAATCTCATTTTCCTTTATTGTATCTCCATTTACTTTTGTAATTGTAACATAAATAGGTCTAGGCATAAATAGAAAGGCTTTTGACCTATCATAGAGACCAGAATTATGCATCTTGGCCTAATGCACAGTAACCACAACTGTAAGCTAATAATGTGATGTCTATTTATAATAAAGTAATGACAATCCCCTTTCATATTTTGAGTGCTTCTAAACAAGCCAAGAATTTTCCTTTTTCTTAAGTTAAAGGTTTTTTTAAGTTAAAATGTCAATTACTCAGAATGTAATAACAGAACAACGGCGGTACAAAATTTCGAACTATCTCACAGTTGTGGTCCTTTCCTTTGCCATTGTTGCTGGAGTTTTCTGCTGCATTGGTTGCAGTGGTTTCTGAAAATGTTTGGTCACATTCATACCAGAATGTTTTGTAAAACTGCCGAAGCTGTGTTGAAATCAAATCAGTTGACAGTTGAAACTCAGAATTCTAAAATTAAACTAATTTTCACGTGGCACTTATCCTCTTTCATTCAGGTGTAATATCATATTACATATGTGCTTTTCCTGATATAACAAGCCAAAAGTCTGCTGTGAAAATGCTCTGTTTAAATCAAAATGATCTCAAGCTTCTAAAGGTGTATCATGAAGAACGATTTGTGACAGTGACTCACAAGATTCTGGGTTTCTTGAAGCTGATCAAACTTTCCTTTCTGAAACCACCTCCACACTTTAAGTCTGTCTCCTGATGTTGTTGAGTCTGACTGCAGTTTCTGATGTGCTCTGTGTTACAGTGATACAGGCTCAGAATGGCTGGGGAGTGACTTACACCTCTACTCAGATCTGTGCCTTAAAAGGATCAACAGTGGAAATAAGCTGCACCTACACATACCCATCCAGAATAAATGGCCGTGATACTACAGTTCAGGAATCATTCTGGTTTACTCAGATGAATGGAGATGTACCTGTGGATCTGAGAACAGACTCAGAGTACGCAGGTCGTTTGCAGTACAGTTGTTCTAACAACATCTGCACTCTGAGAATCACAGACCTGAGAGAGAGCGACTCAGCTGAGTACAAGTTCATGTTCATAACAAACCAACCAGGTGGAAGATTTACTGGTTCACCTGGAGTCACTTTGTCTGTCACAGGTAACATTTTCATGAATATGTTAATTATTTAATTATTTTCAAATGTTCATGATCTAGGAAGCAATAATATGAATGTGAGTGTGTATATTCATGTGCGTGTGACAATTTTGTCCAAAATAACATTCCTGTTCCTTCTTTACAGATCCAGATCTCCGGGTGCAGGTGATCAGATCTACAGTCTACAGGATTTATACAGAGGCAGAGCTGCTTTGTCACAGCAGCTGTCGTCTACCTTATCATCCTTCCTACGTCTGGTACAAGAATGGACAAAAAATTCAGACAGAAACATCTTCTTTATTTAGGCCACTTTTATTCTAAAGACAGTTATTCCTGTGCTGTGAAAGGACTGGAGGGTTTCCCCTCTCCTTCAGTGTGTGAGTTTACTCCACAGTCTTACACCACTGACACCACTAACATAACACCATCTGGTGGAGCCGAATCACTACATGTATTTTAAATAAAGAGACCCTCATTGTGACTCCTCACCAGATCTGGTATAAAAATGGTTCAAAATTGTTTTATCTTTCAGGTGTCCGTTATCAATACTGCAACAGAGTGACTTACACTGACAGAAGCATCTGTGCCTTCAAAGGCTCATCAGTGGACATTTCTTGTACTTACAACAGTTTTTACACTATCAGATCTAAATTCTGGTTCAGACCTGAACGTAGTCTTCAGTGGCAGAATCCCTCACAGCCTGAGGACCTTAGTGAAGACTCCCAGTATGCAGTCGTGTTCAGGTCCTTGAAACAGAGAGAGGACGCTCCACTCTGAGAATCACTGACCTGAGAGAGAGCGACTCAGCTGAGTATCACTTCAAATTCAAAACAGGAAAATTTGAATGGAGGAGTAGTTTACCTGGTACAACTCTGACTGTCACAGGTACTGATGAACACAAACTGTAACAGCACATTTAAACTATCTGATGACAAGTGAATGTGTTAAATAGTGATCCTAATGGGAAAGAATTTTATGTGTCATTAATTGATTATATGATTGTCATAATGTTCTATTGTTTATATGTCTGTGTATGTTGTGATTCAGCACCACATAAAGAACAAATATTTCTGTTTTTTCTCCACAGATTTAGATCTCCAGGTGCAGGTGATCAGATCAACAGTCTACCAGAATTATACTGAGGCAGAGCTGCTTTGTCACAGCAGCTGTCGTCTTCCTGATCGTTCTTCCTACATCTGGTTCAAGAATGGACAGAAAATGGAAAGGGTGGAGACATCTTCTTATAAAGATCAGTTTTATCCTGGAGACATCATCTCCTGTGCTGTAAAAGGACATGAGGATTTCCGCTCTCCTTCAGTGTGTGAGTTTACTCCACTGTGTCAGGAAAAAAGAATGCATACACACTAATATTGCAATACTAGTATGATTTCAGACTTAACCATTTTGAAGTATACTAGATCTTAATGTAGACACAGCCGTAAAAATTACACACTGAACAAAATTATAAATCCAACACTTTTTGCCCCCATTCATCATGAGCTGAAGTCAAACATTTAAGACTTTCTCTATGTACACAAAAGGCCTATTTCTCTCAAATATTGTTCACAAATCTGTGAAAATCTGCATTAGTGAGCACTTTGACGAAATAATCCATCCACCTCACAGGTGTGGCATATCACGATGCTGATCAGACAGCATGGGTATTCCACAGGAGTGTCTTGGGACATCCACCTGGACAGCTGCTGCAACAATCGGTTTGCAAAACCAAAGAATTTCTGCACAACCTGTCAGGAACCATCTCAAGGAAGCTCATCTGCATGCTCGTAGTCCTCATCAGGGTCTCAATCTCACTGCAGTTTGTCGTCGTAACCAACTTGAGTGGGAAATGCTCACAGTCGATGGTGTCTGGGACTTTGGAGAGGTATTCTCTTCACGGATGAAACTTGGTTTTCACTGTACAGGGCAGATGGCAGACAGTGACACCAGATCCTGACTGATTTGCGGACCCTCCCCAATACAGTGAAATTGCACATTTTCATGAACATTGAGTGGCCTTTTACTGTGGCCAGCCTAAGGCACACCTGTGCAATACCCATGCTGTTTGATCAGCATCTTGATATGCCACACCTGTGAAGTGACAGGATTATCTCGGCAAAGGAGAAGAGCTCACTAACACAGACATTGACAGATTTGTGAACAATATTTGAGAGAAATAGGCTTTTTTTTTTGTACATGGTCTTAGATCTTTGAGTTCAGATCATGATGAATGGGGGCAAAAACAAAAGTGTTTATTTATTTATAATATTGTTCAGTATAAAGAAAAACTACCTTTAGTAGAAAGGCAAAATTCAGATACATGTTGTGATATAACAGTTAAACGTCTTTCCTATTATGTACATTTTTGAGATTTAGGAATATTTCAAGTATAAAATATGTTGTTGCAGCATTTACTGTTCGGTAGTTATGTTTCTGTTATTGAGATGCTCCATTACTTATATTGATAATGTCATGACCAACAGCTCTCAGCTCGAGTTAATTGAACAGTTTTTGACTGAGACAGAATGGATATTTTTATCCTGTAACTTGTAAAATCTTAAAATAGAGTTACCAGTTTCTGCAGATTTATTCCTGACTCCACAAGTCTATCTAAGTAGTGGTAAATCTGAAACACATAAATGCTGCTACAACTACAGAAAAATGTTTGTAGTTGTTAAAAATTACAAATTAGAAATGATTAAAGGCTCGTTTTCTGTCAATATAACAATCACAGACGTTTTAATGAGAACAGTCAATAATCTATGAAAACATATTCTACTCTTAATTCATGTTCATATCTTCTGCAGATGCTCCAAAGCTTCCCTCTGTGTCAGTGAGTCCCTCTGGGGAGATATTGGTGAACAGTTCAGTGACTCTGACCTGCAGCAGTGATGCTAACCCAGCAGCTAAATACACCTGGTACAAGGAGAACCAAACACTTCTCAGTGAAGAACCACAGTTTGTCTTCAGCTACATCCAGTCCTCTGACTCTGGAGAGTATTACTGTGCAGCTGAGAACCAGCTGGGGAGGAAGACAACTAAATACATCATTAATGTGAAATGTGAGTAAAACAGCTTATTTAAAAATAAAAAACAGCTTAAATCTGCCCAGTCTTTGCAGGAGAAGATTTTACTGACCATGCCTACATCCTTCAGATCTACTTGCTTCACATTTACAGTCTGCTGTAATTCAGTGAGCAGCTCAGGAGAGTTTAGAATCAGAATTGGGTTTATTGCCTGGTACATTTTCACATACGAGGAATTTTCCTTGGTATAAATTGGTCCTTACAGTACACGTGAACTCAAATATAAATATAATATAGGAGATCAAAAAGTATACAAAAAATACAATACTATAATACAATGCTGACAAGTATGTGCAAAAGTTCACAATATGAGCATAAATATTATAAATATTTGTAAAGTGTGATTGTAAAGTGTGAGGTAGGGAGTGTGTGTGTGTGTGTGTGTGTTTAGGGAGGGGGGGCATGAGAGTCATTGACAGTGGGGACCCAGGCCTTGTTGAAGAAGCCCACTGTAATCGGAAAGAAACTGTTCTTGTGGCGAGAGGTTTTGGTCCTGCCAGAGAGGAGTGTCTGAAACAGTTTGTCTCAGGGATGGGAGGGGTCAGCCACAATCTTTCCTGCATGCCTCAGAGTCCTGGATGCGTACAGGTCCCGAAGAGATGGAAGGTGACAACCAATCACCTTCTCTGCAGAGCGAATGATACGCTGCAGCCTGCCCTTGTCCCTGGCAGTGGCAGCAGTGTGCCAGATGGTGATGGAAAGAGGTGAGGATGGACTCAATGATGGCGGTGTAGAAGTGCGCCATCATTGTCTTTGGCAGGCTGAACTTCTTCAGCTGCCGTAGGAAGTACATCCTCTGCTGGGCCTTCTTGGTGAGGGAGGTGATGTTCAGCTCCCACTTGAGGTCCTGGGAGATGATGGTGCCCAGGAAGCGAAAGCAGTCCACAATGGTGACTGCGGAGTCACTCAGGATGATGGGGGATGGGCTCTTACTAAAATATACGATCATCTCCACTGTCTTCAGAGCGTTGAGCTCCAGACTGTTCTGGCTGTTCCAGGTCACCAGATGGTCAATCTCCCATCTGTGGGAAGACTCATCCCCCCCCAAGAGATGATCCTAATGAGGGTGGTGTCATCCGCAAACTTCAGGAGCTTAACAAACTGGTGACTGGAGGTGCAGCTGTTGGTGTACAGGGAGAAGAGAAGGGGGGAAAGAACGCAGCCTTGAGGGGAACCGGTGCTAATGGTCCTGGAGTCAGAGAGATGTTTTCCCAGCTTAACATGCTGCTTCCTGTATGTCAGGAAGTCTGTGATCCACCCTCAGGTGGAGTCAGGCAGATGATGGTGGAGGCTTTGAAGCAGGCTGGCAAATGGCATGTCTCCAGTGAGGTTTTAAAAAAAGTCTGTGAACACCGGAGACAGCTGATTGGCGCAGTGCTTCAGGGTGGATGTGGAGACAGAGTGCGGCCCAGCTGCTTCCTGAACAGGTTTCTGCCTCCTGAACAGTCTGTTGACATCCCTCTCCAGGATGGTAAAGGGAGGGGAGGAGGTGTGGGATGAGATGGAGGACTGTGGCCGATCAGTGGTGTGACAGAGGATGGTGTCAGGTCTGTCCCATTGTCTTCTTAAAACGACAGTAAAACTGATTCAACTCATTGGCAAGGCGTGAGTCATTCATGGAGTGGGGGGATTTAGGTTTGTAGCTGGTGATCTGTCTGAAGCCTCTCCAGACAGAAGCAGAGTCATTTTTTGAGAACTGATGCTATGTATCTGAGTATAGCTGTTTAGCGTGTCACACTGCCTTGCTAAACCTGACTCCTTAAACCTGGCCCAGGCTCCACTCCTAAACGCCTCTTCCTTTTCCAACCTCAGCTGGTTGGTTAGGAATTTTATATAGTTTTGGGATTCAAACTGTCACACATAAATCTGTCACACCACCTTCAAAGTCTAAAATGCTGCTGCACAAAACAATTTACTGTTCAGAATGTAAATACCTTATATGCTACTGTATTAACACATCCTTAAACTAGAATAATCTCAACGCATCTCCTCCAGATGCTCCAAAGACATCCTCTGTGTCAGTGAGTCACTCTGGTAAAAGTGTCAGGGGTTAGAGGTGTTATAAGAGAAAGTGTTGAAATAGGGATGTGGTAGCTAGTTCCACCATCGTGGTGTTACAAACAATCGAGTTTGGTTATTGGCTGAATATCAGAGATATTCTAGAAATATTAATAAAATTATTAATATCAAAATGTATTAATTGTCATTAATAAATACGGGGCACCACCCTGGAATCAGGGACATATAACCAAATATGAAATCAGTCTAAAAAGGATTTATTCACCCATAAATTGTCAATAATCAAACATTATCATTCAATGATAGGTGAGTTTGAAGAGTGAGTCCGTACACTGGCCGTCACAACCAACTGATGTCACAATATTCAATACAATAACCACAAACAACGACTTCTTAAAATTATAACAGAATTTATTCACTATAGCAAATAAACACTATCATCTAATCTAAATCAAGTGTGTGTGTGTGTGTGTGTGTTTGTGTGTGTGGGTGTGTATGCGTGACCGGAAAGGGAGAGAGAGAAGCGTGGAGTGTGTACTCACGTGTGTGGCTCTGCTTTTAGGTCTGACTCACTATTAACACCTAGGTGTGAAATGGGCGCCTGTTTTACTGTCTTTTGTTTGAAACTAACTCCGACTCAGGCTTTTGGAAATTCAACAGGCCGAGGACAGGCCTTTAGGCTGGCAGGAGGGCCCAGCCTTTGTTCTACTAGACTGTCCTGAGAAGCAGTGGAAGTAGGACAATTGTGGGAATGCCCATAGAGTTAGGATTCCAACCACCGAAGTACTTTGCCCGACTTGCCCATTGCCGAGAGTGCGGATAACAGGATCCTGTGATTGACTGTGTCAAAAGCAGCTGATAGGTCAAGCAGGATGAGAACCGAAGACTGGGCTGCGTCTTTAGCTGACTTTAGGGCTTCTGTTACACACAAAATAGCCATTTCAGTAGAGAGGCCACTCTTAAAGACTGATATAGAGCTGGGAAGGTCATTCTGTCAGAGGAATTCTGACACCTGTTTGAAGACCACCAGTTCAATAGCTTTGGATTGAAAAGGTAGAAATGAAACTGGCCAACAGTACTCAACTTGAGTAGTTGAGAACATACAATAGCATCTGTAACATCAAATCACCAGTACTTCTTATCCTCTTTTGAGTTGAATTTGCATGAATTCTTTGTGATTCATATGGGAGGCCATCAATTTTCTCATCAGAAAAGGGTCACAAAGAGGACATCTGTGGCCAAGTTTCATGTACAGGTTTATTAGTGGTTCTAACAGCCTGTTGGCTACCTTTTTGAAGGCAACAACAGCCTTTTCAATTCAATTCAGTTTTATTTATATAGCGCCAAATCACAACAACAGTTATCTCACAGCGCTTTTCATAAAAGAGCAGGTCTAGACCGTACTCTGTGATGCTATTTACAGAAGCCCAAGAATTCCCACCAAGAGCAAGGTAAAGAGCAGGTATATAACAAAGTAACCACTGGAAGATCAGAATAATGAATCAAAAAAAATTTCTTTGCTCCTCCTAGCTTGTGGTAGTCTGTGTCTAAACAAAGGCAGATTGATAAGTTTTGTCTCTTTTGTCCTCCAGATGCTCCAAAGCTTCCCTCTGTGTCAGTGAGTCCCTCTGCTGAGATAGTGGAGGGCAGTTCAGTGACTCTGACCTGCAGCAGTGATGCTAACCCAGCAGCTAATTATACCTGGTACAAGGAGAATGAAGACTCACCAAAAGCATCAGGACAGAACTTCACCATCACTGACTTCAGAGCTGAACACAGTGGGAATTATTACTGTGAAGCCCAGAACAGAAGAGGACGTCATAACTCCACCTTACATCTGATTGTTGTGGCAGGTACGTTTCTACCTGGGTGATTAACTGAAGAGCATCACCTGGCAAAGTGATGTCCAAATCAAATCCTACAAGTGAGGTCCAGAACAGTTTATCTAATAACTGTCTATCTTCATTTCTAGTGAAATCAACAATGATAATAAATATCATCAGGGTGACTCTGGTGGTCGTGATGACGATTCCTTTGTTTTGTCTGTGGATGAGGTGAATTTATAAGAATGAATCAGTATATCTTTTACTTTGAATATTTACTATCATAGTTTTGGAGTTGTTGATTAAACTTTTTATTTTTGATTCAATTCAGGAAGAAGAAAACTCTGAGCTCCACCACCGAACCAGATGAACCAATAGAGACTATAGAGGTGAGAAAGCTGTTGGGCCAAAGTGAAAGAACTTAGGGCTCTACCAAAGGGCTATCATTTTTTGGCTTTTACATAAATTTTAATGTAAAATCTAATTGTTCAAATGCTATTCATGAGGCCTTTGACTCACATTTGTTTTCTCTCCCCATCAGTTGGAGTCTGATTCTGATTATACCAACATCTCAGCCTTGAAACAAAACAAAACTGTGTGTGACTTTCTTTTGATGCCATCAAACCAGAGGGGACTCACCTAGATGGAAACAGAGAGAAGTACAACTGGAAGACTAGAAAGGTGCTATACAAGTACAGAGCATTTAACAGGGGACAGCTGCGGAGAATGAGGTGGATGGTGGCAGAGATGGATACATTTTCATCTTTAGTTTTTATTAGCAGCATGTAGCAGAACATTTAAGTAGAAGCTTTATTTTTACCTGTGCAGGTAGATTACATATGCTCAGGATGGAACTTAGTTTAATTTATTGTTATTCAAAATTTTAATGCAATAAATTTATTTTAAGACATAAAAACCAGTCCAACCAGTCCCTGGCTCAAGCAACACAATCTCTAATCTGCACTCATACATGTTTGCTGTGATTGGCAACTTCAAAACTGTCAATGCAACTGCAAATGCATTCTCCTCACTTCTCTTAAAGTTCAATGATAAATGAAATAATATTATTAAAATGGTAAATCACACAGTTGAGCAAGAATGAACAGAGTAAAATACAAAAACCAGGCAATATACTGTACATCATAAGCAACAAATTAAATCAATCAATTAAGGTAAAATACTTTTTCATAATGTCATAATATCATCAAACTTTGTCATACTAGTATCAAACCATTTCTTTAACATTAAAGCAAAGTTAATCACATCAAACTACTTAAACCATATAATTATAAACCAATCAATCCCAGTAATACACTTTATATATACGGATACTATTCTGTCAGGTAAAGCACTAAATATCAATACTATTGTTAATTTAACATCCTCAATCGTTTATGAATTTTATATCATACTTAATGCATTCTTAAAACATCCTATTCATTACTTGTTAATACATTTCACACATTTTATAGAACTGACTTCATCATAACCCAAAAGCATCACCCTATGGTCTCGGCTGACAGAGGCTCACTTCCTGCAAGCTTTCCGATGCAGGTTCTTGTGGTTAAGCAGCAAACTGCAGTGTGTTGAACTTTGTCGACTTACTTTCCATCACATCTCCAGGTGTTAAAACCAAAGGTCATCTATCATTCTGAATGTTTTTAACAACTAACATTACATAAAGAATTTCCAGAACATTTTCAGATTTCCCATCATTTTGAGTACATTTAGAATAATGATCACAATACACACTTAAACACTTTAATAGATAAAGAATGCACATAAGTAATTATGCTTTAAGAATATACTTTGTTATACACTGACCGTCTAGATAAACTTCCTGTCTGAGTAAAGAGTAAAAAAAAACGAGTAAGAGCAAAAGTAAAAATACACTCCTACTTTGTGGGGGTCTCTAGCATACTAACTAGCGTTACTGGTAGAGAGAAAGAGAGAGATCATTGCTTATTACGTGATTCAACATTTCCCCCTCTCACACACGCAAACACCACACAGCAGTCCACTACTTGCCCCAGATGTTTGCAATATTGCAAATTGGCATCTTAGGCTACGTTCAGACTGCAGGCTAATGTGACCCAAATCTGATTTTTTTGCTCACATCTTATATTTTTATGACAGTGTGAACTGGCCAAGTCACATGGAATCTGATCTTTTCCAGTTCTGAATTGGGCCACTTCCATATGTGGTCCAAATCCGATACAGGTGCAGGTCACTTTCAGGCCGCGGACAGTTCACACTGGAGTCGGATATGGGCCACATTTAAGCAATAATGTGAACTGTCAAACAAATCGGATCTGGGGAAAAAATCGGAATTGAGCATTAAGGCCTGCAGTCTGAACAACAAAAGCTACAACAGTTAACGTGAATCACAGATGCACCTAGCTAAGCAAACTAGCTAGCTCCGCATTAGCTGAACCGTCTTGTCCAAATATGGTCATGTCCGGTCCGGCTGGTTGCAAAAACTCAACATAGCGGCGCCCTATCGGCCAAACTCGAGGCTTCAAAACCGCAGTCCACAAACCAATTGGTGACGTCACGATGACTACGTCCACTTCTTTTATACAGTCTATGGTTGTAGAATAAAGCTGTGAGTTTTGATTAAAAGCTTTGTTTTTGTCTTCGCGGATAAGTAGGCTATTGGAGGCACTACCAGGCCACAACATGACCTCACTATAAGTTCAATAAACTATATTTTAAGATGTTAATGCATCATTTTCAAAACAACAGTATGAATCGTTTCTTCATTTCAACGTGGAGATCTATCAGGTTTACCTCTGTTAATGTACAGTATATTAATGATGTAAAGAGGAAGGAAGGGCAGCTTTTAACACGTCCTGTGTCACACTGTGTGCCTGTCAGCTATGTAGAGCGCTCTCTGAGTTTTGGTTATTTGGTCTGATCTGTTGTTTAGCCTTGTTCATTATTTTATTCATCTGCATGTTTTAGTTTACATTACATTACTTGTCTTAGTGATTTCTCTTGGTCTGTGTACTTCTGTGTTGTTATGTGTGTTCCCCCTAAGTAATATGCCTGCCTGCCTGTCTCTGTTTTCCCTGTTGTCTGCCTGCCTGCCTCGTCAGCCTCTCTCTCACCTGTGTTGCTCCCACCCTGCTCGTTAGTCCCTGTTGTATATGTTTTTCTGTCGGGATAAACTGTACCACGAAGCTGGTTATCAACTCGTAACTCATCCCAGGGTTTCCCAATTCAGCCGTGAGCGTTCACATACAAGAGGCGGTGTTAGCAGCAGATGACCAATAACAAACGTGAAAAAGTCCACTGGCATCAGAGCGTCATATTTTACAAACAGCAAACTGTAACATACAGAAATATGACATAGGTCGAGTCTAGCACAGCTGCAGCTGACACTTGCAGGGAGACAGAAATTCGCCGACAGTGTGAATGTTTAAATGAACAGGCGCAGTCTATAATAATGCGTTGATTTGATGTGTTCTTATGAGCTGTATGAAAATATCAGCCTTATTCTTTCAGCTCGGCTGTGTCAGCGTTTCTACATTAAAAGGCACGGGCACTGAAGAAGTGGTCGTTCCACCTCAATTTAAAAAACTTGTCCTCACTTTAAAAAATGAGATTAATTTATTTAACACACTCAAAAGTGTTCCAAACATTGTTCTAAATTAACCATAGCAATGAAATGAAAAATCCATTAATGCCATAAAATGTGCTCAAATAGGGGTTGAAAGACTGAATCTCAACATTTAGGCTGCTGAAAACTCCCCTCAATACCACAGTGCAAAACGTGGGGCAGAACATGACTACAGTCTCTGTGGTAGGCCTATAAGAAAGCTACAGTCTACTAACCTAAAATAGATAGCCTACGTTCATATTAAATTTTAGTATTTCAAATCCCTACCAAACTGCTCATAATATTCAACCTTACATAAGAAAAATGAAACGCATTTATTTAACGGCTGCGACAGGCTGTGTGAAACGGACTGGGAGCAAATAAAAATTATTAAACACATTTCAAAGTAAGTAGGCTTACTGTAAAAACCTGTACACTGTTAGAAATTACCAGCATTTCACAATAATTAAAAGTATTATTTTACAGTAACTTGTTGTAAATGAGTTTCCCTGTAATATCCCGATGAATACCTGTAAAAACTACAGTATCCTTGGATTTTACAGCATTTAACTCTTATTTATAGTAAAATCTTGCAATCTAAAACCTGCTGTTATATCACAACAAGGTCTGTAATATCACAGCAACACAGTGAAAAAATTAAGGATTTCACAGCATTAAACAGTATTATTACAGTGTGCCATGACATAACTGAACTGTTTTGAACTGAAGGCTCCGTCGTGTCCCTCTTCTATTCCGGGCTGAATGGAGAAGGTGAGCAGCATGCATGTTTGCAGCACTTACACCCATGTTATTTTAATCTGATAATATTTACTTTCAAATAAATGTTTATCGCATGACTCAGTTCACATTTTGTTAGCAAGTGCCCGGAATTGTTGAAAGTTCTCTCACAGCATTTGCTAATAGTAGTAATGTTAGTAATGAGGAGAGTTTCGCTACAGTTTTTCATGTCACTATCCCCGTTTAGACAAATCTGGTGTTTGTAAAGTTTATAAAACCAATGATGGGACAAACATTACTATTTATTGTGCACATTTCTGTAATTAGTCAAGGTTATCATAGATTAGCATTGCTAACTGTTAGCTGTTTAACTTTAATAACTTAGTGATTCAAACGGTGTCACCGTCAAAAAAAGAAAGTGATTCAAACAACACAAAATCACTCTCCAGAACTTTCTCATTCACGGTTCCATGCTCATCTGGAATGCACAATCCAGGTCCATGAAAAAATATTTTTCCAGCGGATATCCTAGTTACAACATGACTGAGCTAACTGGAGTAAGTTAGTCTCATGTCGTGTTCGCGACGAACGGGATATGAATGAATAATAATTGTAAAAGTTGTAAATGCACTTTACATTGAGTGAGCAATCTCAAAGTGCTACAGTAAAAAAACACTATAGATATACCACTATCATTTTTGACATACGGCTAAAATTAAATGAAAATCAATTATCATAATCTGCATTCAAACTGAAATTCTTATTGTTGGTTGCCTTTGTGTAATTTCTCCTTTTTCTTTTCTTTTCTTTCCAGGTCACCTCATCAGTGTCAGGCTAAGAGTGAGGAGAAATAGATTAGGTAGGTGACTAGTTAACATGCATCCACAATGTTCAACTGTAAATTCGTTGGCTGTGAGCATGTGTCTGAGAATGTGTGTAACTATGTTCAGCACACAAAACTGCATAGCAATGCCCCCAATTATCACTACCAGTGTGGGGTGCCTGACTGCTCACGGAGGTACAGAAAACACACAGGACTGCAAATTCATATGTATAGGCAGCATAGGTCCTACCTGCAGGCTGCTGGGCCTATACTGCCTGACACATCAGCTCTTACACCCTTGAAATGTCTGCTTGAGGCTTGTGCATTTAAGTGTGACACTTTGGCCTCTCTTATTAAACATTTGAAGACGCACATAAGGGGAGGAATGGTAACTAGATGTCCATTTAGAGGTTGTGATTGCACGTTCACACACGTGATGACTTTTGCTTCACATATTTCCAGAAAACATAGATGTGCATCATGTGCAGTATTCAGAGGCTGCCGAGGAACACGCAGCACCTGAAAGTATTTTCACGTGCTGCGTAATATCACTGCGCCCATGGTACGTTTGCAACGTTCCTTGATTATTACGCCAGAATGAGAGTATAGTTCCATGTCAAATCAGCCTAGAAAATTGCCATGTTTCATTTTCCGCTAGTTTTATTGCACGTTCTAACTTGAGAAGAGACAACTTTTAAATAGGAAAAATTCCGGAAATCTTAGTCATTTTGAGGGTGAGATGCTAATGGTCTAATCCGATCCAATGATCTATGCTAGACTGGAGCTATATGTGGTATTGCTTAATTCCCCAAATGGTGGAATATCCCTTTAATTAGTTTGATAAAATGCACCTGTGTTTACAAAACTTTTACACTG